ACGCCATCTTGTTCCGCGCTCGCGTTGTTCTCGATTGTTCTCGAAAAGGAAGAATCGGTTATTATTCCCCTTTTTGTATCCACGCATGCACTTCGCGTTCACGCACTTCGCGTTCACTTTGTTAATTCTCGCGTCGTCCTGGGCCCATAACCTGTTGACGAAACTCAAGTGAAGGCAAAGAAAGAAACAGAGCGTGTGCAAGAGAACCAAAAGATACAACCGATCGGACGAACGTCGCCGTTACATGTGTCGATATCGATCAAACAAAGAAACAAGCGCGCAGCGCTGCTAAGCGACGCTAGTGGCGACACGAACATGTATTGCTTATATAATCCATAGGTGGCATGACAAGTCTCAACATTAATTAATAATTTAATTTAAAAGACATGTATAATTTTAGTATTATATAATAGTTTGTATAAAAATTAAAATGTTATAAGTTATAATTTTTATAGGAAATTTATTTAGTTAATAAATTTTATAAGTTTAATATAAGATGTTAATTATTATGAACACACACACACACACACATAGATTTATATGAGGGAATTATATAACATATATAGTAATATTATTTTATGAAAAAAAAATTAATAGAAAATTAGTATTTCTTTTATGTATTTTCAAAATACATTCTTGTTCAAGATCATTAATTATTTATTTAGTAATTGAGTGATTTTAAAAATTAAAGTATATTAATTAGTATTTGTAGATAATAGATTTTCATACTTTAAAGTTAAGTATTAGGGTAATAAAAAATATAAAATATAATAGTGTAAGAGTTTGGCTAATTAAAATGTAGGGGGTTTCAATTAGTTGTGCTCCAGCTCAGGTTAATAGGATGAAAATATTAATAAATATTCAGAAGGTGAATTGATTGGTAATAATGTATGATGAGGAGTTAAAATATTTAGATTTAATAAATGGGAGGGTATAGAGAATTATGATTGATATAATAAGTGCAATTACTCCTCCTAGTTTATTGGGAATTGAGCGCAGGATAGCATAGGCAAATAAAAAGTATCATTCGGGTTGGATATGAGTAAGGGTTACTAATGGATTTGCTGGCGTAAAGTTATCTGGATCTCTGAATATATATGGATATTGTATAATGATGGTGAAAAAAAAAATAAGATTACTATAAAGCCTAGTATGTCCTTTAGAGTAAAGTATGGATGAAAATAGATTTTATGTAGGTCTCTATTTGTTCCTAGGGGGTTAGAGGATCCAGATGAGTGTAGAAAAAAGAGATGGATAAAAATAAATAAGGTAATGATAAAGGGTATAATAAAGTGAAATGAAAAAAATCGATTTAAGGTTGAGTTATTAATTGAGAATCCGCCTCAGATTCATATTACTAATATGTTTCCTATATATGGAATAGTTGATATAAGATTTGTGATTACTGTTGCTCCTCAAAAAGATATTTGACCTCAGGGAAGTACATATCCAAGGAAGGCTGTTAGTATTGATAATATAAAAATAGATACTCCAGAAATTCAAGTATTAGTTAGATTGAAAGAGTTATAATAAATATTTCGTCTAATATGTAAATATATACAAATAAAGAAGAAAGAGGCGCCATTTATATGGATATTACGTATAATTCATCCGTTATATACATTTTGAATAATATGAATAATTCTATCAAAGGCAGAGTTAATGCTAGGACAATAATGCATGGATAAAAATAGTCCTCTAATAATGTGAATTGCGAGAAAAAGTCCTAGAAGTGAGCCGAAGTTCCATCAATATGAGATATTAGATGGGGTTGGCAGATTTATAAAGGGTTTAATTATTTTATTTATTTTATTCATATAAAAGAAAATAGAGGATTTTGTTAATGTGTTTGTATGAGTTAATATGGATAAATTACGTTAAATATGATAATTATTTTTAAATATTAAATAGAAATTAAGAGGTGTTTTGAAGTATGTAGTAGTTTATATGTTAATAATCGTAAGGGTAATAAAAAATTGATTAAGTAATATGAAATGAGTTAAATTATATGGGATACTAGTAATATAGTATTGTATATAAATAAAATTTATAAATAATAAGATTTAATTAATTTTTCGTAGTGGAGCGTATTTAATTGAGCAAATTTTAATAATTAAAAATATTGCTAATAATAAGAATATTATACAAATTAGAGTTAGATTAGAGTATGGATACCTACAGATAAGATATATATTTTCAAAAATTTTTTTATTTATGTTAAGAGGTAAGTTGTTGTTAGATAGGTAAGAGTTTCTAAAATAAAGATGAAAGTATTTATTAAATATAATTGTATTTATAAATATATATATATTTATAAGTATGATTAATAATATAGGTAATTTTATTGTAAAGTTGTTTTTTATGTTAGAAATGAGACTGGTAAAGTATAAAAAGATAATAAGAAGTCCTCTAATTAGTGTTAAAAATATAATGATTGAATATATATAATTTTTTGATCAAAGAGATAATATAGTGAAAGTTAAAAGAGAATGAATAATTAATAAAATAATTATTGATCTAATATTAAAATAATTAGTTAAAATTATGAATATGATTAAAAATATTGTTGATAAAAAAATAATAAATATTATTTTAGATATTTTGTTCATAATGATATGTAATTAATTAATTTGTAGTTTGTAATTAATTAATTTGTAGTTAATTTAATAGTAATAGTATATATATAAAAATATAAATTTAATAAAAATTAGTAGTCAAGAAATAGTTTAATTAAGAATTTTAATTTTGGAGATTAAGAGTATATTTACTAGTATTTTTTTGAGAAAATTGTTTTAATAATAAAATTATATCCTTAATTTACAAAATTAATATTTTTAATTAAACTATAAAACATTATTTTTTTAGATATTATATTATATATATATATATTTTTTATGTCTTTAATATTAGTGATATTAATATATAAATATATATTAATTATGTTGATAGTAGTAGAAGTATTAATAGTGAATATGTCAATAATTTTGTATTTAGTTATAAGTCAAGTTAGGATGGAATTTTATTTAATTTATTATTTAATTTTTAGAGTCTGTGAAAGAGTTTTGGGGTTAAGGTTATTAGTTATAATTATTCGTTTTAGAGGTAATGATTTATATTATATATTTAATATGAGAAAATTTTAAAAAAAAATTAAAAATTTAATTATTATTTTATTGATTTGTAGGTTAGATAGTGATTATATTATTAATAAAATTTATTTATATGATAAAATTTATTATAATAATTTTATTTATAAATTTTATGATTATATTTAGTAATTTTATAGTTGAGGACTTCCAGTTGGACAGGTGAGTGGATAACACAGGAAATCTGCTAGTGAAGATTTTAGTTGTTAACGATAAGAACCTTTCTGTAAGGGAATTCCCTACGGGGATTTGATTTGCAGGAGACGCGAGTCTTAAAAATCGGAGCTGGGCATTAATACAGCTCGCGAATACAACAAACGCGAGCGGAAAGAAGCAGGAGAGGGAAACCTAACCTCAATCGGACGAGCTGTCAACAACAGAGAAATTGGGCAGAGACACCGAAAAAGAGTTGTCGTCGTTTTGGCCGTTTCGAAGACCTGGCCGGGGACACGCGAGAGCGGGCACGTGGCAAATTGCTGCCTCTGCGCAGGTGCAAGACGGGTGCGACGCAACCAAACTTGTGTGGATAACAAGTAAGAGAGAGAGAGAGTAGGAGAGAGAGGGAGAGTGAGAAAGAGGAGGATAGGAGGAATCGACACGCTCGACAGCATCAGTAGAAAGTACGGGGGTTCGGTGGGGTAGAGAGGAGGAAATGACAGAGAAGCCGGAGGAAAGAGTAGAGAAAGAAGAAACTTTCATAGCGCCGCAGGAGGTAGTAGGAAATCGAGTAAGGAATTGGGTTGAAAGCGGAGAGAAGTGGGGAGAAGGCTCGAGCGGAAAGGAAAGAACACAAGAACCGAAACAAGAAAAAGTGACAGAGAAGGGAAGAAGAGGAAGACCAACGAAGGCGGAGAGTATTGGTAGAGGAAGAAGGGATAGTAGCGGTAGTATTGTATCGCTGCTATCAAAGAGGGATCGAAGAAGTGACTCCGGTAGTGGGGAGGAAGGAGACGAAGAGAAGAACCGACGTTTGAAACGCGCGAAGGCTGCAACGACAAGCACGACGGAGGAAAACACAAATAAAGAAATGGAAATGGAAAAGATAGAGGAGATAATGAGAAAGCAAAAGGAGGATATAATACGAGAAATGAAAACAATGCTAATAACACAGCGAGAAGAAATGGTGAAAGAGCTAAAGAAAGAGTTAAGGGAAGAAGTAAGAATAGAAGTAAAGAAAGAGATGAAGAAAGAAATAGAGAGAGTTAGAGAAGAGGAGAAGAATGCGAGGAAAAGGTTAGAGGGAGAGATAGAGAAAATGCGAAAGATTATAGAAGACTCGGAGAAGAGGAGGCGAGATCAAGAGAGTAGAGAAAGAAGATTAAACATTGTAGTGAGAGGGGAAAAAATAGAGGGGGGGAAAGTGATAGATGCAGTGAGAAGTGTGTGGGAGAGAATGGGAATGAAAGATAAGGGTATAAAAGTGAAAGAAGCGTTTAAACTTAAAAGTAGAGAAGATGATAGTTTAATTTTGGTAAAACTGTATAGTATGGACGAAAAACGAATGATAATGGAGAATAAATTTAAGTTAAAGGGTACAAATGTGTTTGTGGATGATGATATGACAAAGAGTGAAAGAGACAGACAAAGGGCGATGAGAATGTGGGCAAAGATAGAGAGAGCGAAAGGGATGAATGTAAAGATTGGGTTTGGAAGAGCATGGATGAATGGAAGAGAGTATGTATGGAATGAAGAGAGAAAATGTATGAGTGAAAAGAATTTTTAGAGAGTGCCTTCACGGAGAGCAAAAAAGAGAAAAAGTGTAGAAGTATGAAAGATAAGAGAAATAGGGAGAGAAAGTGGGAGAAAAAGAGAGTGAGGGGGGTAGTATGGAACGTGGCCGGTCTGAAGAGGAAAGAAACGGACTTTTGGGAGTTTCTAAAAGGGTTCGAGATAATTGGGCTGACGGAAACTTGGATAGAGAAAAACGATTGGGAAAAGTTAAAAGAAAAGATGCCAGAAGGTTGGAAATGGAGGTGCCAGCCGGCAAGCAGGGAGTGTAAGAAAGGGAGAGCAAAAGGAGGGATTATAACGGGAATAAGAGTGGATTTGGAAGAGAAAGAAAGGACTCATGAAGAAGAACAGGGGATTCAAGAAAGAATGATAAAGTTGGATGGAGAGAATTGGAGGGTGGTAATAGTATATAATAGAGAAGGAAAGAAGGAAGGGCTAGAGAAGATGAAAAAGGAAATAAAGGAGGAGGAAGAAGAAAAGTTAATAATATTAGGAGATTTTAACGCCAGAATAGGAAGAAAGGGAAGTTGGGAGGAAGGGGAAGAGGATAGAAGAGAGAGAAGTGAAGAGAGAAATTCAAAAGATGAAGTCGTAAATAGTCAAGGGAGAGGACTTATTGAGTTGATAGAGGAAAGAGGATGGTTAGTGTTAAACGGGGGGAAAGAGGGAGATGAAGAGGGAGAGTGGACCTACGAAAAGGCGGGTAGGAGGTCAGTTATTGACTACGGGATAGTGAATTGGGAGACGTGGGAAAGAGTAGAGAGATTTGAGGTAGGATGTAGGGTGGAGTCGGACCATCAGCCATTGATATTCGAACTGGCAAATCGGGTGGAAAGAAGAGAGAAGACAGAAGAGGAAGAGGGGAGAGTGCAAGATTGGTCAGAAGAGGGAATAAAGGAATTTAGGAAGAGATTAGAAGAGGTAAAATGGAAAGAAGAGGGAGGTACAGAGGCATGGGAAGAGTTGGAAAGAGAAATAACAAAAGCAGTCAAGGTGAGGAGGAAAGGAAAAGGGAGAGATTTAGGGTGGTGCCCGTGGTGGGATAGAGAATGCAAGGAAAAAAAGACAGAGATAAATAGGGAGAGGAGAAGATATAGAAGAGAGCGAGAGAAAGGATATGCAGATTTTATAAGGTGTAGAAAGGAATATAGAGAGCTATGTAGGAAAAAAGAGGAAGAATATAGAAAAAGGGAAGAGAGAGAGATAGAAAATATAAAAACGGAAGCAGAGGCATGGAAATTTATAAATAAAGGAAGGAAGAAAAGAGAGGGGATATGTAGAACAATTGAAATGGTAGAATGGGAGAAGCATTTTAAAGAGATTTTTGGGGGAGTAGAGGAAAAGAAGGATGATTGGCAGAGAAATAAAGAGGTTAATAGGAAAGAAGGAGAGGGGATAAGCCAAGAAGAGGTGAATAGGGAAATAAGGCGATTAAAAAGGGGAAAGGCAGCAGGATTGGATGGTATCAGAAATGAGGCCTGGAAGGAAGGAGGAGAAAAGGTTAACACAAAGTTAAGTGAGGTAATAAGGAAAGTGTGGGAGGGAGAAGGATTTCCTGCGAAATGGAGAATCGGGGCGGTGGTACCGATTTGGAAAAGAGGGGATAAGAAAGAAACAGGGAACTATAGAGGAGTAACACTAACTAGTACAGGATATAAAATGTACGCAAATATACTGAATAAGAGATTAGTAAAAGAACTGGATGAAAAAAGAGGTTGGTGTAGATCACAGTCTGGGTTTAGGATAGGGAGAGGAACAATCGAAAATATAAAAATATTGAAGCACATAGTAGGAAGGAGGATGAAAAGGAAGGGGAAAGTGTATGCGTTGTTTTTGGACCTTAAGGCAGCCTTTGACAGAGTGGACAGGAAAATTCTATGGGAAATGATGAGGAAGAGGAAGATAAGAGAAGGTCTGATAGATAGAGTGATGGAGATATACGAGGAAACAAGATGTGTAGTGAAGATAGGAGATGAAATTTCAAAAGAATTTTGGGTGGAAAAAGGTGTGAGGCAGGGATGCCCTCTAAGCCCGACGCTGTTCAATATATATCTAGCGGATATTGAGGAAGAAATGAGAAAGGGAAGGGGAGGAGTCAAGATTGGAGAGGAGAGAGTATGGACGATAGAGTATGCGGATGATATACTATTGGTAGCCGAGGAGGAAGAAGCGCTAAGAGATATGATCAGAAGGGTGAAAAGGTACTTGGAAAGGAAGAAACTAGTCATAAGCAGCGAAAAATCGAAGGTTATGGTTTTTAAAAACAAAGGAGGAAGGGAAAAGGAAAGATACTGGTGGTGGGGGAAAGAAAGACTGGAGGAGGTAAAAACATACAAGTATTTGGGATATGTAATGAGTAGAAGTGGAGGAGAAGTGGAACATATTAAAGAAAGAATAAGAAGAGCAAGAGTGGCAATGGGATGGGTGTGGAGCTATGGAGAGAGGAAATTTAAGGGAGATGTGAGATGGAGGTTAAAGCTTTTTGATAGCATAGTAAAAGGAATATTATACTATGGGGTGGAAATATAAGGAGAAATATGGGGATATAAGGAGTGGAAAGAGATAGAAGCCATACAAGAAAAGTATTTGAGATGGGTGCTAGGATTGGAATGGAACACCCCAGGGTACATAGTAAGAGAGGAATTAAAGAGAAAGAAGATGAGAGTAGAAACGGGATGGCGAGCAGGAAGATGGGAGGAAAGGATACAGAAAGGAGAAGGAGGGGAGATTGGGAGATTATGTATGCTAGAAAGAAGAAAGGAGGAAGGGGAGTGTGATATGAAAGAATGGACTAGGGAGAGTATAGAGAGAAGAGACTACTTGTGGCGAGGCGGCCTAAGCGAAGAAAGTTTAAATGAATACGGAGAGGATAAATGGGAAAAAGTAAGGGACAGGGATATAGAAGTGGACGAGCAGGAGAGGGGAGAAAGAATAAGGCGATCAAAAACGTGTAGGAAGTACAATAAGGTATATGGAATACCTGAGTACATAAGGAGGTGTGGAAGGAAAGAGGGCAAAAAGATGGTAAGGATAGCAAGGTGGAGATGTGGAAATGAAGAGAGAGGAAATAAGTATTGGTTGAAGGAGGAAGAGAGAAAA